CCCCAAAACCCCAAAACCCCAAAACCCCTTTTTAAGATCTTGATGTTGAAAATGAATAAATCAGATTCAGATCTCTAACCTCAGACAGCTGTGGTCTAAAACTCAATGTTGAGTAGCATCATAGCTTTAAACTCCTTGAAATTTAATGCTCCATTATGAGTGAGATCGTGTTTCTCAATGATCTCTTTAAGCTCCTTCTTCGTTAATTTTTTACCATGCTTTGCAAAAGCCTCTTGAAGGTTATCAACAGTGATCTTGCCAGTACCATCGACATCAAAGTTTTCGAAAAGAGTCGAGATTTGGTCCTCAGAGAGGAGGTCTTTAACCTTGATGGTAGCTGCTAAAAATTCGCTATAGTTTATCTTCCCATTGCCTAAATAGTCCACACGAGAGATAAGAGACTTTATCTCAGAAGCAGAAGTCTTCTTACCAAGACTTTGTAACGCAGATTGTAGCTCAGATGGACTCAATAAACCTGTGTTGTCCTTATCTAGGGCTTTAAAGATCGATTCAAGCTTTTTCAACTCAGAGTGGTTTAACGTCCTCACATAGACTGACATTGCTTCCTTGTGTAGGATAGTGAGGGAGTTGTAATTCTGAAGAGATTCCATCACTTCATTGATTTCTAGACTTATAAATCATATTTACCATCTTCGTTTGCTGTTTGAAAAATTTCCTTATTCTTGATGCAAGTAAACCATTCATGTTCAAGTCATTCTTCAAAGGTGATTCTTGTATCTGGTCGACGATCTAGCATTTTTGTCAGCAAATCTTGGACAGAATCAGAGGCTAAATTCCACTTTCTTAGTGGAAAATCGACATCTTTTTCTTTAAGTTTCTCACGTAGTTCAGATAAATCATCTGCTTTGTAGGGATACTCTCCACTTAGCAAGATATATAGTACTACGCCTAGAGACCAGACATCACAGGCCTCATCATAATTCTTTTCAAAGACTTCTGGAGCTGTAAAATAGGGGGAGCCAGCTACCATGCTCAACCTACGGGAATTGAGATCTTGAAATTTGGCTGAGAGTCCGAAATCAATCAGTTTTACACTAGAAAAGTCAGTCTCTTCTTCATCAATGAACATGATGTTCTCAAGTTTGATATCACGATGGACTACTCCTTCAGCATGGCAATGAATCAGTGCTTTGATCAGGGTCTTAGCTAGCACAGCTCAGTCATATTCGTTCATAACTGTATTTTTCTTACAGTACATATGAAATAAATCTCTACCTTTGCACAGCTCGGTGACTATGTACACATTCTCTGGTGATTCATAGACATCTATAAGTTAGAGAGCCCTGGCTCTACCTCTGTACTAAATTGGTAAGACAGAAACCTACATTGATGATGTTCGGATGGTCCAAATTTCCCAAAATTTGACACTCTGTCTTGATCAAATCAAGGTTTATTTTAATAGTTTTATTTGTCAATAACCTTGATAGCTACTTTGTTGGGAGGATTCTTAGCTTCATGGCCTAGAAACACTTTTGCAAAGGCTCCTCCACCCAAGACTGTTGGTTCTATTTTATACATCCTCTTGAAAGAGGACAAAGAGGATGTTTGAAAGCTTGTAGATCTAGGCTGTTAGAAATGATATACTTTGGTAGGGTTAAAGATTTCACTTTATCCTTTCCTTTATGAGTTGATTTGCCACACCCCATTTGAAATTTAATTTCTCAATTTTTTTACAATTTTACGGGGTTTTGGGGTTTTGGGGTTTTGGGGTTTTGGGG